CTAATGACAGAACCATAACCTGCTTTCATAATTTGTGGAAACACCAAGCAGAGATTTTTTTTCCAGCACAGAAACAATCTACCTCCTCAGCTGCTGTAAATTGTCTCCATTGGTTTTAATAGAGCTATTCCAATTTAAACCACTGGAGGATTCAGTCCTCATGAAGTTTTAACTTCTCTTTCCCACATAACCAGATTGGCAATGTATGTTGCAAGTATTCATGGAGCCCTAGCAGCTTATGGCTTGTATTCATTTCTATAGAGAATATTACTGGCAGAGGAGACTCCCTGGAATTCGATGGGTTTCCATAGCCAAGTTCTGCAAAGAGAATCCTGCAGCCAATTTCAATAAGTTCTGTTGTTTGATTTATGATGAGGATAATATGTATAGTGGTGACCCAAATTAATACCACGTATTGTTGGGAGTCAGAGCAGCTAATTTATCAGGAAAAAAGGCCTGTAAACATCACAAGAAGATCTTGGCAGGGAGGAGGAAGAAATAAATAATAATAATTAGCATGTCTGAGCTCTCACAAAGTATAATCTTCACAACTGTTAATTCTTCTAGTCACGAGACTTTATATATAAACTGTCCTCCAGTTTGTACTGAAGAGGAGAGATATATTGTGGATTATACTTGGTGGATCAAGTGCGTAGTGAAGAGACCCCTGTAATCATCTAGTCCAGTGTTTCTCAAAGTGGCCTGTGGACCTACTCTGAGAAAGCTGTTACTGGGCCACTTTGGTTTGTTTACTTACCAGCTATGCAGGCACAGAGCCTCGTAGCTCCAATTGCCTGCAATTTACAATTTTCAGCCAAGGGGAGCTGCAGGAAGCAGTGTGACCATAGCTGCAGAGTCCATAAGTAAGCAAACTGGAGCAACCTGGTAGCAGCTTTCTCAGAGTGGATCTGCCAGCCACTTTGAGAAACACTGGCCTAGTCTGACCATACAGCTTCCCCCACATAACTCCTAAAGCATATGTTTTTAGAAAAAGCATCCAATCTTGATTTTAAAATTGCAAGTTATGGAGGATCCACCTCGATCCTTGGTAAGTAGTTCTAATGGTTAATTAACCTCACGGTCAAAAATGTAGACCTTATTTCTAATCCAAATTTGTGTATCTTCAACTTCTAGCCATTGCATGAGGTTAGACCTGTCTATGCTAGATTGAAGACCCCATTATCAGAATTTATTCCCCAAGGAGGTTCTTATAAATTGTAATCAAGTCATTTCATAACCTTCTCTTTGTTCAGCTAATTAGGTTTTGCTCCTCAATCTATCACTATAAGGCGTGTTTTCTAACCCTTTAATCAACCTTGTGGTTGTTCTCTGAAACCCTTTCCATTTTATCAACATAATTTTTTAATTATGGACACAACTGGATGAAATATTCTAGCAATGGTCACACCAGTTCCAAAACAGAAAGGTCAAATAACCTCTCTAATCCTATTTGAGATTCTCCTATTTAGGAATCCAAACATCACATTAGGTGCTGGGTGCTGAGCACTTTTTTACAACCTGGCCCATAAGTATCTTACTAGAAGTGGCTGGGTGCTGAGTATTTTTCAGAATTTCCCCTTGGCATAGGTGCCTAAGGTGCATGTCTGTGCCCCAGCTTGGAGGTCTGATTCCCAGCGCAGACAGACTTGTGCTATCTGTGCTCAAGCTAAGGTGCCAAAAATAGTAGCCTCGCCATTATGGCATGGTTGGTGACTTGGGATAGATGCTCAAGCTCAGACCATGAGAGCAAGGTGATCTTGGACTCTGGTGGGTAGGGTGAGCCACTTCCCTTGCAAGGTAGGGTGAATCACTTCCCTTGCAAAAGTGTCTACACTGCTATGGTTAGAATGCTAACTCAAATAGTGTGTAAACTAGGGACGTTAAAATAATTTAATCAAGTAAATGTGTAACCGCTAAAAATTTCACGTTTACACTTAGTGCCTGCTCCCCCCGCACTGCTGCCTCTGATTCAGAGGCAACAGTGTGAGGGGCAGCTGGCTCCCCGGGAGCTGGTATATGCTGGGAACTGGCTTTTAAGACAGTTACACTTTCATATCCCTAGTGTAAACATACCCTAAATGGGACTGGAGACCATTCAAAAATCTGGCTCTAGTTATGGCTGCTGAGCACTTCAAAACCTGGCCCTTTCTGCCTTTCTGCCAAGTTTAAGACTGGTCTGCTCTTACAATTCCTGGATGCATTCTCTGAGTATCCCATCCAAGCTGAAGTTAGCATGAAAACTGGCAATCTTCTCTGTTCCTTTCTTTCTCCCCTGGTTCTGCTTGGCCTGCTGTATCTCAGACAGCATTTTGGGAACAGTGCACATGGCTAACAATGGAGAGCTATGAAAAAAATTGGGGAAAATTATATTGTCTTGCTACAAAACCCATCTTGAGATCCAGACTGCCCTTGAATAAGTCCTCTCAAATATTCTTCATAGCCCCCTTCCTTTGATCCCCTTTGCCTAGTCTCTCCCTCCCTACACTATGGCCACATCTGCAGACATTTCACAGCCTTGAGCACTGGAGGCAGGTCAATCTAATTCTGGAGAATAGACCAGGCCTAAATTTGACAAACAATCATACCATTCTTCGGCCTGATTTTCAGATTTTCTAAGCGTTCACAAATCCCATGGATGCCTTTGGGAGCTGCAGGTGCTCAACCTTTTAGAACAGGGGTGAGGAACCTCCAGTGTGCTGGCTGGATGTTGTACACCACGGTTAGCCCTTGGCGGACCACCAGACACTTTGTTCACCTGAGTATCTGCAGGGAAGGTCGCTCACAACTCTCACCCCTGCTTTAGAAAATCAGCCTACTTGTGTCTTGTGTAAACTGGATATGATAAGCCTCCTTAGCCTACCAGATGGTGTTGAATCCTGGGATAGTATGAAACAGTAAGACTATGTCTATAGTGTGCTCTCTTGTGCAAGAAAATATGCAAATGAGGCGAAGCGGTGACTATTTCCATGCCTCCTTTGCATACCTAATGAGCCACCATTTTTGCAGATTTTTTTTCAGGCAGAATGGCTCTTGCGCAAGAGGGGTTTTTTGCGCAAAAAGAAGTAGTGTAGCTGGCTCCTTTTTGTGCAGAAGCCCCTTATGCAAAATGGTGGCTCATTAGGTATGCAAAGGAGGCATGGAAATAGTCACCGCTTCGCCTCATTTGCATATTTTCTTGCGCAAGAGAGCGCAGTATAGACGTAGCCTATGTCTTTATCTTGCCTGAGCATGCATATGCATAAAGATATTCTGTGGGACAATTATAAGTAAGTTGAAAAGAAATGATTTTAGCGGGGGG